CCTGAGCAATTAAGAGGTTTGACACAGCTAGAGGAAATGCTGATTTCAAGGGTTTGCCCCATCATGCAAGTCTACAGAAAACATGGTGGGCAAAGGGGCTACAAAGGTCATGTACTAAACTTACCACAGGATATTCAAAGTTTTTTGAATAGGTTGCCTGCACAAGTAGCTGACTTGCCTGTTATGATTGTGCGTAGACAGGGTGCTGATGAAACACATAAAGATTTTACAGTTCGTCGACACAGAGTGCTGGGAGCTATATTGTGTTTGAAAACAAACAATCCATTTTTCAAAGACATTGAAATTGACAGGGATGTTATCCAAAGCCTACCAGAGAATGATGTCCCTGAAGAGCTAAGGTATGTTATTTGATGACAATGAACTTTCAGGTCATGCGACAGATTGGTGAAGACTCAAAAGTAGTTGCATTTAGGGTGCTATTGATGAGAATGAGAGATGGACAAGTTACCGAGATGGACTGGAGACTATTAATACAGCACTCCAAACCTAACGTTTCAATGGATCAATCTAGTGATGCTATTCGGCTGTACTTTGATAAAAAAGTGTCGCTGAATATAATTATGAGAAGTTGCTAGAGATTGGACAACCATTGGTCAAAATTCAAGCAAGGCATTCTGGTCGGGGTGCAAGTGCTGCAACCTCTGATGAAGCAGGTGGTTTGGAAGCTGTCCTCTTTGTCAACCAAAGCAGAAGTGATGCTTACATGTAACCTTTGGGCAGAAGTCGGTCTTTGCAATGGCTCTTTTGGAACTGCTGAGCAATTTTGGTTTGTGGAGAATATGGGTCCACCAAATCTACTGATTGCAGTACTGGTTCATTTTCCGGCATATTCTGGCCCTGCATTTCTACAAGAATGTTCAAAGTGGTATACCTGTGCCTCCAAGACTGTTTGAGTGGATGGCTGATAAAAAGTATTTGTCAAGACATCAATTGCCCTTGCAGCTGAGGTATACATAAGTCCCAAGGACAGACACTAAACAAGGCTGTTGTTGATTTAGGTAAAGAGGAGAGAGTTGCTGGCTGCACGTTTGTGGCAACATCCAGGGTAAGATCAATTCATGATATAGTGTTTGAACCTATGACATTTGATCTTCTGAAAGTCATTGGTAGGAATAAAAATTTGAAGAAGCGACAAGAAGCAGAACGACAACTTCATGTGCTTGCAGAAAAGACTAAGCAGAGGCATAAGTATTGAAAATCAGGTGGATGGATTGTGCTGTAAGTTTGTGTTGCTATATATTGTTCAATGATACTGGGCACCAATGTGCTTTTGAGGAAAGACTTGCCTGTTACTAAACACAATTTTGGAAATTAATTTGCTAAAAAATTGTTACAGACACTTCCTCTATTATTGTGTTTTTGGAGGGCAATTTATCATGTAAGCATGTGTTATTGCCTGTTACTGGACATAATCTCACATATTATGTTTTTGAAGGTGGCAGTTGACATGTACAGATATTTACATTATTAAAGTTTGTTCGTTTTACTAAAAAACATTAGAACATCAATCAGGTAAGATACAATATAAACAATCAACCGTTTCACTGTTCAAAACTCTTTTCGTGTGTGTAGGCGTTTACCCGATTTACCTGGTGACTGAAAAACAGTACACGCAAAATCCACGTATAGCATAAATTTCAAAAAGCACGCGAAAATATCGTTCCGTTCTGTGTCACTGTTTGGACTGCAGTAAGTCCTATTCATAATAAAAAACTTTATAAAATATTGAACATTTTGAAGTTCGCCCAATAAATTATACTAGACTTCACGCTTGTTGACATTTTAATTTACAAATTTGAGGAGAAACATTTTTGGAAGAAACTGCAATAACTTTTTTAAAGCATTTATAAATTTGTCGATTTTTGCAACGCTGATGGCTGATGCGCTTTACCTTTAAGAAATAATGAAAATACTAGAAATACATGCATGCAGCATCCCCTCGCCATTTCAAATGAAAAAAAAAATTTCCTGAGCTAGCCAGACCTGACCTTCAATATTATGAAATGTTCTAAATGTAAAGCCCATAGCTGATGTTTCAAATTTTTCGGAAACAAACACAGTCGTAAAGGTGAAGTCAAATCACGTGTTTTCCTGCTGCTTTCCATTGCATTAAGTTATAGACTTTCACAGTTTAAGTGAGAGTTAATACTCCATTATAGCTAAACCTTCAAAACATCAAAACAACCAGTCGTCACTCGTTCAAATTTTGCGCGTGCGCACAAGCACCATGACCATTGAACGTCCATGGTCCAAATTTAGGCGACATTGGATTCCGCTATGTTCTCCCGGGTCCTGGGTGTAATTCCTAATCTCCGGGCGGAATTAGTACCCTTGCACCGGCTCGAGGATTATATTTTTTCTTATATTTTAGATTAAAAGAAGTTTTGAAAAAAATCTAAAACATGTAAGTTTGTTTATATTACAATAGATATTTTTTTTCAAACTATTTTGTATTTTATGATTTTTGAGCTTGCTTCAAGTAGGCTATATGGTGCTGTTGTTTTTACATACTTTTCTTGCTCATTTTTATGTTGATGGCATATTTATATATACTGTGAAGATCTAAAGGAGACGAAGAAGTAAGATGCAAAATTATTTCAACAAAGCACTTTTCATGATGTTGGTAGTGCAATTATTGTAATAATACATCTACTTTACCAACTATTTTAGTGGAGAATGAGGATGAACTCATACTTGGTATGTATATAGGCACATATTTATATATCTTTCACTCTGAATGTACAAATTAGCAACTGATTAAAATGTTGTTGATCATTTCCAATGTTCAAAAATCTAATTTAACAATTATTTGTTGGATTTTAGACATTGATATTGATAATGATAATGGTAATTATGATTAAAAAAACTATTTGAAATCTTATTTTTGTCACAGTTAGTTAATTTGTATGTCTTTTCACATAGCACAAAGGATAACACATGCAAATTTTCTTTCACTATAGAAATACTTGAAGCAGTCCCTGACCTCGCCCAGGGGCCAGATGAGCAACCCAGTAAGTTTCATGATTGATGTGACTTATTGATGCATACTTTCCCCTGCACAACTGAAATACTTTCATTTAATCTAGTGAATCCTCCACCTCAAGAAAGGCCTGGTATGCGCTTATTGAATATGCACAAAAAATGATATGTTCTTTGAAATTGTGTATATACTGCCTATATTGTTTAACATTTTATGATTAGAAATGTATAGTGAAGCAATTGCATTATGATACATATTGAAATGAACTAACTTATATTTTCAATTCTCAAGCCTTGCAAGTTAATACAAACCTTGACAGTATATATCAGCTACTTTGTTCAATATTATTTAGTTTCTGTATTAATTAGTGATGATGATGCATGGTCAAGTTTTTCGCCAACAATTTAAAACTCTAAAATTAAAAAGGTTGCCTCCTATCATTACATGGATTTATGCAATATGTCAACCAAATTTGTTTTATTTTTTTTGTTTTATTTTTTTTTATTTTAGATAATGACCCACACCCTGGGCGGTTTCGGGGGCAGGAAGAGGTACTGTATGATTCATTATATCCACAACAATTGTTTCCGGTTTTTGTCATTGGATGCTATTCAACAAATATTGCATTATGAGGATGCTCAATATGACATTTTGTCTTTTTAGTGTTACATGGACAAGTGAGAGGTTAGTAAAGTTCAATTGATAATGGTCATGCACCCCAAGAAAGGTCTGGTACGCTGATTGAATATGCACAAAAATGATGTTTTTTTTTAATTTTGTATATACTGCCTATATTGTTTAACATTTTATGATTATAAATGTATAGTAAAGCAATTGCATCTGGATATAATTATATTGAAATGAACTAACTTATATTTTCAGTTCTCAAGCCTTGCAAGTTAATGCAAACCTTGACATTATATATCAGCTACTTTGTTCAATATTATTTATTTCATGTATTAAGTGATGATGATGCATGTTCAAGTTTTTTGTCACCAATTTAAAACTCTAGAATTAAAAAGGTTGCCTCCTATCATTACATGGATTTATGCAATATGTCAACCAAGTTTGTTTTATTTATTTTTTTTTAGATAATGACCCACGCCCTGGGCGGTTCCGAGGAGGAGGCAGAGGTACTGTATGATTCATTATATCCACAACAATTGTTTGCAGTTTTTGTCATTGGATGCTACTCAACAAATATTGCATTGTCAGGATGCTCAATATGACATTTTGTCTTTTTAGTGATACATGGACAAATGAGAGGTTAGTAAAGTTGAATTGATAATGGTCATGCAGTTAACTCAACATTTTTGGTAGCCTGCAAACCAATTATTTCTTGATATCATTTCTTGATATTAGGGCGGTGTTACAAATGTGACCTTTGCGGCCACCAAGCAGTGACATGCCAAGCACGTATGTACAGTACCTTATGATTTGTCACATAGTGTATAGTCAGTTGTTAGGTCACTGGTTCACAAACAATATAATCATGGCTTCAGGGCTATTCTTAGATATTAGATGGTGCGACAGAAGAATTTTAATGGTCTAATCAAATATTTAAAACTTGGCAAAGACGCTGCCCATCACAATATTTGACAATAATGTTTTAGGCTATTTCTTTCTCCAGCTGGTGACCGACTGATTATCCTGCAGTTCTAGGGGGCACACAAAACACTGGCGAAGCCGGTTATGAAATTCACAAACTGCACGTTTGAGAAGTTTAATGCTTGAACTTCTCAAATGTGCAGATTAGGCTACGTTGACATACAGTTTAATTTAAATCTCCCTGTTGAACATCTTGCCCAGTATACAAATGTTGAATAACATTTAAAAAACAATGAGCTATCAGTACATTAAAGACGAGACAATATTGTTTTCAACTAGCTGCTCATAAATCACTGTATGTCAACGTAGCCTCAACAAAGGCGACTTTTGCCTGATTGGTTGATTGTTTTTGTCGGTTTCAGGCTTTTTGCGCGTAAATTTGCACGCGGCGAGGAACGAGTGGCAAACAGGTGTCAGGGTGCAAAAGCATCAACTTTTACGAGAATTAATGCGACAATCTGTTACTAAAATGCAAATTTTTAGCTTTGTTGTGTTACTGTTCACATTTATCTTTCGTGTCAATTGATTTGATATGAACTCGAGGCGATGCTTTGTTAAATACGTTCAATCGTGCGTTGGATGGCGATCGTGAGAATATTCCTGTTGTATTCTTTCTAAACACTGGCATGTTTAGTTGTAAATAGCAACGATCGATGATCTGTTACACCCTTGTCCGCCACATGATCTTGTGAAACAAGTCTGTGGGGGACTGTATGAAAAAAAATTAAAGCTTAAAAGTTGAAGCGTTGTCAAATTATGGATGTTTACAATGTGGTCGTTGTTAGATTATTTTCGAGCGTTGTTATGTGCTCGCAACGGCCGTTCATCGCATCGTGTGAAGAAGTATGAGTCTTAGAAAATTTTTAAACATGGCCCTGGAACATCGCTGTAAAAGATAAGTATTTCTCATTTCCTTTTGCACAGTACTGCCTTTGATTGATTTTTATACCCGATTATATTTTTGACAAATTTTCGTTGGTAGTTGTATTTGCAAAATGACAGCGCAAGTTTAAAAGCGCTGAATAATGTTTCTAGCGCGTGTGACACGAAATCCATTTCAGAACAAAAGCTTTAACCTATTTTTCGGTTGATATCAGTTGTATTTTCTGCTACTGGCTTGTTTGTAATGATATAATTAAATATTTAGTATGATTCATGACCATTTGCACAAATGTACAATGTAACAAGAAGCGGGATTTTTCGACGCTTTAAACGGCACTTTCTGTAGTGTTTTAAACCTGGATTTTTGTTTGTTACAAGTTTTGTTCTTAGGCCTTCGGATTCTGCTTTCATAATTCCTTTACTTGATGCAAAAAAGAAATTTCTAGTGCAATTTATTTGAGAGTAATCAATGTGCAATGGGAATTATGCAATGAAATAAAATAGTCTTTCCGAAAATGTGTAAAACAAGCAAACAAACAAGTGTGACGAGACACACCTTTATGTAGCAATAGTTTGTTTATTACTGTAAAGTCCCGTGCTATTTCGTCCTGTTTTTAGGCTGTTTCAAGTTCAAAAATTCGGTAGTTTTTCACCGACCCTTCGTCGTAGGTGTCTGGAATGTTTCGAATGGAAAGAGTTTTGTGGGAAGGTCAAGATGTACATTTCATTGGCGTTTGCGTGCGTGCGTAATGGAGTGTAAACAAACGAATCTTTGAGGATTGTTGTGTTTATTGTCGTTTCCTCGTTCACTACAACTACATACAAAGTATTGTTGGCTATGTTCAGATGAACCTCTTACCGGGCTAGTTTCAGTAGCCATCGGCGGAACTCGAACAAGGCAAACAATACAAAGGGAAGGCATGGCCACAAAGAGGTCAGTCAGTGATTATTATCTGTTGTAAAAAGTTTTGCGCGAATTAATTTTAAAACACTTTGCATTTTTCACTTTGCATTGTTTGAAGTCTTTTGGCCTTATTTTTCCTTTCCTAATGATCGAATCTTAATCCAGATTGTAGTCATGCCTGTTTATTTTTACAAACTATGTTAGGTCTTTTCTACTTTACAACAATGATTATATCCAGGTTTATAATATTCTATAACAAACAACCCAAATAATGTGCAATTGTATGCAAAATTTAGATCTGCACTTCTTTATATTTAAATTCGTCTAAACCGTGAGAAACCTTACAAGTTAGAAAAAATCAATATGTTGACAATTTATTGGATAATGATTTTAATATTGCATAGAATTGCACACTTTACAAATCTGAGTTTCTATTTGATGTATGCCAGGCACAATTACATGGTGTTAAAGGTAATTCACAACATAATCCAGCAGGGCAAAGCGAGCATTTACTTTGGGATGCATTTATCCGACTATGTCCAAGTTTAGCATGGAAACATTTTGAGCAGTGGGGAGGTTTTCTGATACTTATCTTTACTTTTGGTGGTTCTCTTCCTTTGCTTCCAGATGGAGACTCTGGATGGAGTTGGACAACTTGTTCATTCAGTTCATTCACAACATCATCAAAGTTGGTGTTAGGAACAAGATCCATTTCATCAAAAGTGTCATCATCTTCATTAATTTTGCCACTTGTTTGTTCTTCAAAGTTTTCAGTGTCGTCATCCTGATCATGCAGTAGGGCTGAGTTTGCGGAGGTTGCCAGGCTGGTCACTACATCTGTTAGGTGGACTTGACATATGTAGCAGAAAGAACGCCCAGCCAGACATTCATCATGAAAAGAATGCCAGCACCCTTCAAATATGTGCCAAGGTTGTTCTCCAGTCAAGGTACAAGACAGAGAGTCGCATCTCCTGTCAACATCTGGTCTCTGGTGACATTGAAACCCAAGGGGAAGGAAATAACTCTTCACAACCTTTTCAGCAAAAAGAGATGGCATGATGTAGTTATTTAAATCTTTCCTCTGACCCTTCTTTCTGGGAAGATGTTGAGCCTCATTAGGATTATTAGCTATCCTGGTAAACATATCAACAAGAACACGTGCAACTTGTGAGTGCAAAAACTTTAGCTCTATTCTACTAAATACGTAATTCTTAGGTGGTGTGAATACTTCTCTAAAATTGCGTTGCCTCATGCTAGTACCAAACACTGCTTTTATTGTCTCTTTCAGTTGTTCATCTGTTGCTGAATCAGTTGTGTGCCTCCTGATGACTGAGTGGACATATTCAACTGTTGACTCATCTATGATGTTAAGATGGTTAGCAAAGATATTAAATATTTCTTGTGTGTGCTCATTGCTCTGCCAAAATCTGATAAACGAAAGCCATATAAGCAGTACTTTGTTATAGTGGTGCCTACGAAATGAGTACATCATTATCCAAATACGAACAATTGAAGCATAATATGCATAAAACTTGTTTGTCTTAAATAGTACATTATAGGATGTTAGAATAAGTGGGCAGTAGTTGTCTAAAAAGTTTAGCAATGTACCATACTGGATATCCTTACACCTCCTGAATTTCATCTTGACCATTCGCCTAACCACCCTCCATACACAATTTCTAGTATGAATTGCATGCGCCATGGTTTGGGGTGCTCAGCTAGTTTTTTGCCTTTAAAAACAGTTTCATATATTTGTTTCAGCAGTGGGATATAATTAAGAACCAAGTCCTCATCTGAATTTAAATCAATGTGGAGTGGCCCAATCATTGGGATGATGGATAGCAGAGGAGAAACAGCCGCATTGTTGTTTAGGTACTTCATCAGCAATTCATATATGATCTTTCGTGGATGAAACTGACTAGGGTAATCACCTGGCAGTAAAACAACAAATTGAGAACAATACTCCTTCAATTTAGAATTGAAGACAACATCTAAAGCAGTCTGATAGTTTGCTTTGCTTTTAAGAGGCAGTTTAAGAAAATCAATCAGATGCACATTGTCAAACTTCCGTAGATGTCGTACATCAGCTGATGCACAGTAATCATGTGCCTCAAGGCGTTCACGCTCCATAAGTGGATAAAAAAACTCAGCTGTGATCTCAGGCATACAGGAAGCATAGGTATTGCCCAGAGTACTAACACTATCATTGGAGCAAATAGTATCTATTAGCTGATTTATGTCAATGCCTGTTTTAGGGTGGACTTCCTCTGGTTTTCTCATTTGTATGGCACTAAGACTTGGGAATATCTTAACAATTATGGTACACATGTTATTAGCAGTACTGGTTTGTAGATTTGTAGGTCTCCGACTTGTGTGTATGGTGGTGTAGTCATCAATCATTAGCAGTAAAAGTTGTTTTTTCTGAATTGCTGTGTTGATAGCCTCATTGACACTCAATTCATTAGATAATGCATAATGTGACAAAGCCCTATCTATAGTTCTGCTGCAGCATGCTGTACCTATTGTCCTCTGTGTGTCTATGCCATCATTAGTGCAGTGCGAAAATTTTAACAAAATGCCATTATCAACTTGAAAAAAGTCACACTTTTGTGACAGACCAAAACAAAGCTGCAATACTAAAGATACACAACGTTTCTCATTCAGGCTTTTTCTCTGCTTTGTGTGCCGTGAACTAGTCATGCATGACAACAGTAGCTGAAATATGTTGTGTGCTCCTGCCCTAGCACAAAATTCTTGAAATGCATCCGGATTGTATGTGGGAAGATTTTGTGCAGTTTTAAAATTTTTGTAGTATGCATTCTGAAGGCGTATAACCTCTTTAACTACCTGAGCACCTGGAAGAGATAAAATAGTATTAGACAATGAAATGTATGTGGACCATTTTTTTACGTTGTAAATTAACCTAAAACTCAATAATGTTCTGCAGTGAATTTATTTTTTGTGTTAGCCTGTGGGAAGGGAGGGTGCTCTATATCTCTTGAGGGTAAACATTCATCTGGTGACCCAGTATGGGAAGTCTGAGAGGACACAAAACATTAGAAGACTTAGTGGTCAATGTTTTCAGTCTTATCCACCCTACATTCAGATAAAATTTGCAGTGTATTCAAATGTGTTGGAACCATTGGTATAATAAAGAACAATTAAAAGGTACTTCATTTGAGCAAATTTTGCAAGGACAGGTACCCAGCAATAAAGTATTAGTAGTATTAGTACACACCCCCATGCCTTCCCTTTTCATTCCCAATTTTACTGCAATGTTTGTTTTTAAAAAGTACATTTTCATTTTACATATTATAAAACTAATGGAAATATGTAGTTTTCCACATAGTCATATAAATTCCATTAGGGGCTGGAACAATCAAACAATTGAGTGTCTAAGTTCAATAAAATTGATAAAAGAAGCATTCCTTTTACTGATCTGTTACAGAAAGGTGCGAGGGCAGATTTTTTTCGCCAGCTAAAATATTGAATATTATATACCTTGAATCTCCATTGGGAGGAACAGATAGTTGGCTACAGTGTTTTGGAAAAATCTAAACGTACCTTCCAAGTTTATAACAACGGGCTCGTCGGGCTGTTGTTTTGCCGTGCTTTCAACAGCTGAGCCGGATGCTTCCCGAAAAGCTGACACTTTTTCAAAGCGTTTTTGAACAACTTTTACAAACACATTTACTCTAACTACTTTTAAAAACAAAACCAGATGGACAAGAATTTTTTTTACAAACATGGCATGGTATCTTGGAACGCATTCTAAACTTATTGAACAATATTAAATGCCGAGCAACTTTCAAGAAAGCTACACGAAACGAAACGGGACTTGGCCATATATTCCTGCCTTTGCAGCAAAAGTAAGCAAAAGTCAAGCTGTTTACCTGATTGGTGTATTTTAAAAAGTTAAAGCCCAAGCTTGAAAAATAACTGCCAATGTCACCAAGACTTCGTTTTGATAAAAAGTAAAAAGACCGATCGCAGCGCATCGCGTCCACATAACAGAGGAAAAACAATATAAAAATAACTACACTTGCTTGAAGAAAACCGATTTCTTTATTTCGCCTCATTAGCTATTTACACAATAAAGTTATAAGAGATTTTCGCCAAAAACTTTTGAGCTTCGCTCCTTGATTTGCTTCCCGGCTCCGATCACTTCGAAAAAAAATAATGAATGCGCGTGCGCAAAAGAGCGGTAAAATCAACCAATCAGGCAAAAGTCTCCTTTGTTCGTAGCCTCTTGTTGTTCTCATGTTATATTAGTCTCGTTTACACTACACTCAATTTATTAGGGACCTTAAGCATGTTGGACGGCAACACAACGACGACGCGGTTGAAATTCTCCTTTAAATAAATTCTATAGCAAAGTTGTTGTTGTATATTATTAATTGTACAGATTTAGTGAGTATAAGGCATTAAGAATATTGTGTTTAAAGGATAATTCTATAGAGCCTAATTCGAGGTAGGGCCCCCTGGGTCCTGAAATCCACCCGTTCTAAACAAGACGTAAAAAACCATGTTTTCCCATTGTAAACAGAACGAAGACGACTTCTAAAACCCATCATGGGTCTTTAATTATTCATTTTTTTTCAATGACCCATTGTATTGATAGCCGTTGTCGTCGTGTTCGCGTCCTACATGCTTAAGGTTGCTATTAATGGCACGGCACGGCTAAAATGGGTGCCCATTTCATTTGTGCTCGGCCTTTGCTTTCGTAGCCTGAACACTAATAAAATTGGGCACAGGTACCAATTCTAGCCGTGCAGTGCCGATAAATTGACTGTAATGTAAACAGGGCTATTGTTATTGATTAAAATATAAATATAAATATAAATTAATATGTAAATTGTTATTTTTATTATTCTGTAAATTTTGTATTGTAAATTTGTTACATAGTTTGCATTTATATTATTTATATATTTTTTGAATTAAATTTATTTTTTACCCATTTTTGGAAATTATGTTATCGCATTAAGAACCGGCAAGGGGTTACTGCATGCATGTATTTCTAGTATAGTACTACTTAATGTAATTTAAAAATAAAATAAATGTAATCTCATATATACAGTGTTTAATCGTCAACAAGTCAATAATATAAATGACAAACATGCCGAACTCTACATTGACCATTGTTTTGGTGTAACACTGTCACATCATACTCATATGATCGTTTTCCTGTCCTTCAACCTTCTTGTGCACCTTAACCAAGCTATAGAAGCCCTCTACAACTGCCTTACAACCTCCAGAAGACAATGCAACATCCAGCGCAATGCAAATCTCGGTCCCAAGGCTTTCGTAAACACAAGAAGTTACGTAAAAAGCTTCAATTAAACTTTCTTTTACTAATTGTGCTTCCACCACAACACCTGATTCAAAGCTGATCTGAAACCACTTATCCAACGACTCTACTTTCAACGCTACTTCTGTCAACATGACCATCCTGCTGTTTCGGAACTCTGCTACAACGTCACCCTGACAATCAACAAAAAGCTCCTCTACACAGCTGCCCAATCCCATCCAAAGTATCTTTTGCAATGTATTCTCAAGCTTTTTCAACACTGTGTGGATATCTCTTGGCAAAAGATCCAACTCCTGATTTTCGTTAGCAAGGGCTTTTGTACCTGTGGCAAAGAGCAAACATGTTGGTAGAAATCATGAAACTCGTCACTATCACTTGTTATTCATTTAATTCGATCTTCACATGTGATTGGCAACTTCCCTTCTTCAATTTTGAACATGCACAGCTATGTTACAATTTCCTCAACATTTAACACTTTGGCAAGTTTCTTTACTGACGATGGCACAATATTCTTATATTGAGCTTCTAAACCAACACAGAGATTCTTGCACAGAACAACAAGGTCTGTGATGCAGTCATGTGGAGACCGGAGATCCCAGGTGTATGTTGTATTTCGCTTGCCATTTCTCATCTCTGTTGTCTCATTTACGACAACCCAACCAGGCAAGACAGGAATACCCTAACATAAACAGTATGTACGTCACAGTTAATCTAAATTTACCTATGATTTCCACTTCCATTTCCACACAAGTGTCTGTGGTTCTCTTGGCATCTGCCGATAGATGTACAAGTTATCCATGAATGCAATAATGAAAACTGACATTACCTGGAACATATTATAATCATCATCTTCATTATTATCATCATCATAATTAACTCTCGTTAAATCTTCCCAATGCTTCGCCAATTTCGGCAACATCTTGCAATCTGGAGTTTCACCTAATTGTACTGCTTGAAGAGCTGCTTTGATCTTCTTGAGCATTTCCAACAAGCGGGAAACCCACATCACGATTTTCCAAGGTGGTAAATTTACAGCCTGTCCTCTAAGCATCAATAAAACCACAGGATGTAGAACATCCAATACACCACAAAGATCAATGGCATAGTCTTGTCCACATACCTATAATAGATATCACATATAGATATTGTGAGCTTCCAAAGTTAGAGAAAGTAGTGCAGTAAATATCATACTTGTACTATGTTGTGATACTACACTTGTTGTTTGTGATATTGTACTGTACCTGGTACTTGGTTTCTTCCTTCTCCTCGTCTTGATTTTCCCGATATTTTATGAAGACTTCCATCAAAGCTTTGTAACTAACATATATCTTATGCCATTGCTCATATGACGAACTGAAAAACGTGTTGTCGCGAACATGACAGTTTCCAGAGCTTTAGTGAAGTAGCTAAACTTTTATACTCTGCATGACCTCGTTCATGTCCAAACATGGTGTGGAATCTGTTAGATCGCTTGATAATCCGCTTCAAGTAGGTGGATGTTGCATCATCCTCTCTCAATTTCTCCATCACAAGGTCTATCCAGTGTGATGCATCCCATGTTGTGAGAAAATGGGGATCTGGTGGATGTTCATTTTTCCCCATTTTTTCATACAAGGCTTCAAGGAATGTGTTTGCCTGGTACTGTCCATCTGCATGGATAGCTAAATAATAAAAAACATTGTCAGTAAGAAGGCCAACATACATAGTAAAACAATTTTACTGTAATATGCTTAAAGTATACAAAAGATTGTGTTGACTGGAATTTGTATCGCACGCTTACAGGTATGCTAGATTTTTGGGAAAATTCCATCAGTCACTTTAATATATATCGCACCTCGTATGTAATGCATGTCCTCCACCTTAAAATCCAATTTGTCTTTGACAACTGATACCATTTGTTGTGCAAGGTCATCACCACTTCCTCCTGTGATATCATTCATTTCCTCGCAATAGTGATAAACAGTTGAAGCAATCTATTGGCAGGGCAACACGTTTTCTATTTACAATATAATAACCATGATGGCATGGTTGGTTTCTCTGTGGGGGGTTGATTTGTCCACAGCCAGATATGTGGACGTAAATTAGACAGTTAAACAGGTATTATCATGGTGTATTTTTTAAAGCAAAAAAGCAATACTGCTGAGGCAACCAAAAATTTCTAAGCTAATATTGCTTCTTTTGATAAGATTAAACTAATTAGGAGCAACAATGGAACTGAATTTAGAAGTCAGTTCTTTAAATCCTAGTTGCCTAAGAATTCTATTAGGCATGAGGCTAGTGCTCCTTACTCCCCACACCAAAATGGGATGGTAGAGAGTGCATGGAGAAGTTTAACATGATAAGATGCCTGTTAATATAAGCAAAATTGCCCATCAGATAGTGGGAAGAAGATGGGTTTTCTTCGTGTTTCAATTTTTCAATGGTATTCTTATTCTGCACAGCTGATGAACCTCTTCAACAAGTAGCAGGATTTCGATGTTTTTCATGATTCTATTTTGAACAAATGTAATACAAAATTCTGCAAATGCTTTTTCATACAAGGTTAGACCCATTTTGTCGATATTTTTTAGATTTATTTTAAGGCATTTTGTATAAGCCTGATGATAAGGCTTGTGGTATTGTACCTCCACTGCAACACAGTCTTTTTCAAGGATGTGTACAAGTATACTCTTGTTGCTGCAGAAGCGAGCGAGCCTGAAGCGAGCGACGCAGCAGATTCTAATTTGCGTAGATGGGGATTTTTATCTCAAAACATTCTAGCGTAGTGCATTGTTGTCATGCTCGATCGGAAAAACCGCAGATAGCTAATTTTCCCTAGTGTTTCCAAATAAAGGCGATCAGAGATGCGCAAATGGCTATTTTCCCTGGTGTTTCCAAATATAGTCTTACAAAGATATGATTTAATTCACTGTTCAGCAAAATTTCGAAGTTTCGTAGTTCTTCTGAGCGTTAGGAAGACATATAATGATAAATATTTTGAAAATCAGGTCCCATATCCATATTGCGTATATTTCGAATTTGGACGTTCTATTATTATTCACATGGAAGCACAGGTGTTGTAACTAACACCTTATGCAATCCAGCATGCGATCTTTGTTTTTTTTGTGACATCCTTTAAGAGTGTGTGTAGTAAATTTCTCATGTTAAGCTTTTTTTTTCTTCTTTGGTTTTGAAAGATTTTTGTAAAGGTAATTTTTTGTTCTTTTGCTGATTTATAGTTACCATTGTATTTATTTTGTTGTTTCTTTGTTATTTTCCGTCGATTAATTGGTTTTTGTTATATGTATGTCAGGTATTCTATCAAGTGGTGTTGCAGTTGACTCGTTCTCTGTTGTCTTCCTACTGTAGCACAGAGCAAAACTACTCTAAACTAAAGGTACTGGTTTTGACCATCGTATTTTTAATCTTTCTTTGGTATTTACCGTCAATTAATTGGTGTTCTTTGTAGTATAATTTCTCAGTAATATTTATAGTAATATTTTCCATACAACGCGGTCTGTGTATTTCCATATCACGCGGTGTTGACAGTGTGCCAACGGTTTATAAATAGCACAGAGCAAAATCAGTGTGAAGTAAAGGTACAGGTTTTGTTGGTTTTTGTGGGTTACCGCTGCGCATGCGCGGCTAACCACTATGTGAGAGTTTAAAAATGACTTAGCACGAAATAAATAAATGTCCAGATCTTCGGCGATTGTCTGATAAACGAACAAATGACAATAATACCATTCTTTATGACTTCCGGAAAATATCGCAACTAGTTCGGAAAATATCATAAGTTGTTATTTTGCCAAGATTAAAGATTTCGAGTTTCCACTGTGATTTTGTGGAGGGGTTGACTGCGTTGTTTCGTTTTAACAAAGTTAAGGTAAGCTGTATTGCTTTTTTGTGGGTTTTTGTTATTTTAATCGCTTATTTATCTACTGTGGTCGAGCAATTTCGACTACAATCAGATTTTACAAGCGTACATTTCATTTTATACGGGGCAATCTTGCCTTCACTTGACATCATCTTGTCAGGCGCTCCATGTGTCAGAGTGCACGTATCGAAAAACTCAAAAAAAACGGAGCCATTGTTGCTTGCACTGGTCGTCATCATAGACCAGGGTACTATTTACGTGAAAGGCCACATACCAAAGTGAACCTAGCCATTGTGCAGGTATTGAAATTGAACCCAGCCATTGTGCGGGTATTGAAATTGAACCCAGCCATTGTGCGGGTATTGAAATTTGAACCCAGCCATTGTGCGGGTATATAAAACAATTAACAGCCGCAACTGCTGCCACATTCAAACAAAATAACACTGCTGACTGCTTGCTGACTTGAAGGGACATTACTTTTAATAAAATAAAAAATTTAATAATGAGACCATTCAGCAAAAGGAAGCTAGACTTGCAAAAAATAATGAACGAAAAAGAGCTTGTAGAAAAAAAAATAACTCTGCAAAGCAGTACGAGACAAAAGGTAACAAATCACATTCAGTGAGAATTGTTACAGATGCTGTAAATTACTTGCCCAGTGAAAATATTGATACATTTGCACTTGTTAAAAAGTTTCATAATTCTGTATCTAGAGGACCTTTGTATGTTTGCACTTGCTGTGATCAATTATGGTATAAACATTCTGTCTCCCCTGCAGACAGAGTAAAAATGGTCAGTCCTGATATAATCAAGTATCTTCAAAATATAAAAAGTGTGATAACATTGAGTGGGTTTGTCAACACCTGTAACAATTACTTAATGAAAGGGAAGGTTCCCCCTTGTGCAATTGCCAATGGCATGAAATTTCCAGAAAAACCATCTTTCTTTGATCTGAATGAACTAGAATGTCGACTTATTGCTCCTCGACTAGTATTTCAGTAATCTTGATCAAGATTACTGGTAATGTTGTCAATGTTCCAGCAGATGTAAACAGCACAGTAAATGTGCTTCCTAGATTATCAGATGAGACAGGTTCTATTAAAGTTCAACTTAAACGAAGATTACAATACAAAAGTTCTGCGCTTTCAATGAATATAAGACCTCACAAAGTAATGCAAGCAGCTGCATGGTTGATTAACACAAGTCCTTTGTATGAAGATCAAGGCATCATTATCAATGAGAATTGGTTGAGAAGTTTACAAGAGTCAATGGATGATACATCTGATAGTATTGAAACATCAAATGATGCAGATGATTTAACAACACCCAACTCTTCAGAAGATGAATGGACTGAAGGTGAAGCTGAGACACCGGCTGGAGTAACCGACAGTATGTTGACTCCACCAGATTTTGTCAGTGATAGTGAAAGACAGGAAATTTATAATGTTGCACCTGGTGAAGGTAATAGACCATTGCGTATATTTAGAGATTAGTATTCTGAAGAAATGGCATATCCAGGAATATTTCTTGGACAAAAAAGACCAGATGGTAAACAAAGGTTAAGAAGTGTTTACTATAGTGACATATGTAAATCTGAGTTAAGAAGATCTGATCGACGAGCTGCCATGTGTGTTGAAAATATATTCTTCAAAGCTAAAAAATTACAAATGAAATTTTTGATTGGTCAGTCACAGGTTGCTCTCCAAAAAAACAAAATAGGTAACAGAACACTTACTGCTGGAGACCTAAAAACTACAGAAGGTTTAAAAAGTTTAATAAACCATGATGATGGTTTCAGATTTATGAAAACTCTCAGGGGTTCACCGTCTTATTTTGAACGAGCCAAAAAGGACTTGTTTGCTATGATTTGCCAGTTAGGACCAGCATCATTATTTTGCAGTTTTCCACAAAATGGAATCACTTATTAAGAATTCTCAGTAAACTTATTGATCACAAGGAATTTAGTGATGAAGAATTAAATAATCTTACTTGGGAGGAAAGGTGTCGACTGATTCAAAGTGACCCAGTAACCTGTGCAAGACATTTTGATTTTCAGTTCAATACTTTCTTAAAAGATGTCTTAATGAGCAAACTTGCCCCATTAGGCAAAATTAAAGATTAGTTTTATAGAGTTGAGTACCAACACCGAGGGTCACCTCGTATTCATATGTTGATATGGCTTGAAAATGCACCTGTGTTTGGTGTTGATAAAGATGTGGTCAACAGACATATAGAAAAACAAACAAGTCTGATGTTGATAAACTTCCATTAGAAAATGATGATGAAGATAATGACGATGAATTAGCAAATGGCGAAAATCTTCAGATGGTAAAAGCTTCTGGAAGTAAAAATGTAAAGAAAAGATCTCGATCTAGAGTAATCCGAAGTGTCTGGTTTAATAAAGAGGCACAACCTGAAAAACATTATCGGGAGTTAATTATGCTATTTACTCCTTGGCGAAATGAGCAAACCGATTTGTTGAGAAATTATTCTTTTGAAGAGCACTATTTAGCTTGATATGATGAAATAAATAAACAAATGGAGCATTATGCTGTTTGTAGTGAAGATTTAAATGAAATTGGACATATTTTGACGAATGTGATGATGCTTTTGATACAATAGCACCTGTGACACAAAATGTTGAACGACATGATCAGGACCAAGGATGCGAGGACACACATCCAGATTTAAACAAAACTTTTGACTATCTTGCAGAAAATTTAAAGTGCGTATAAACCCAAAATGGGTTTTTGGTGATTCTGATAGAGCATAAAAAATTAGTTATTAAGTTCTACATTAGTTTTTTGCTTAGATTCTTAATTTCAGAGATACAAGCGCTCAAACATGCAAATTTGGCCGTTTTTGAAAAAAAAGTAGCGCGACCAAAATATCAGCGAAGGGCCTGGATACTAGGAACTCATCTTTAACAACAACTGGGCTTTTGTATTGAAGACTACGGCTATCTTCAACAATTCTAAAAAAAAATGCCTAGGCGATGTGTTGTTTACGGCTGTTCTAACACAGCAGATACAAGCAATGGTATCTCTATATACGAGATACCGTTCTGGGGTGAAAACGCGCCAATTGCAGCTAAACGAAGGGCAAAATGGATCAACTTTGTTCGTCGGAAGCGAGACAAATGGACGCCAACACCTTCGTCAGTTGTGTGCTCACAACATTTTACTGAAGACTGCTTTCAGTTTGGTTCAGATGTGGTGAAGAAATACAAGACTCCCAGACTAAAACGGGATGAGCACGGAATTTGTGTGTATCCTACGATAGATACAAAATTAATCGGTACAGAAGACAGTGAGCGGACGAAACGCGCAAAGCAAAGGGTAAGCTGATATTTGGTATTACATTTTTAATATTCTCAGCGCTTTTTAGCTATTTAGTATTTCAAGCGTAACTTTGAATAATTAAGTTATGTGCGCATTATTCTGCATTTATATTGGCTGGTATAAAGGCTGTCTATATTGGCTGGTATAAAGTGAAATGCCAAGTTTCTACATAGACATAGTTTTCTATAGCATTGCTATTGGTAGTATTGGTATATATGGCGTACATATTGTCGAACTAAATTTAATTTACAGTAATCAACATTAATTTGGATAGGCTATCAGTAAACCATCGAAGTTAGACGAAGAGGAAGCACCCACAACTTCGTCAGATATTTTATCTGATGAACCAGGCCCCATGGAACAAGAAACGATAGTAAGTCTGTCAAAGTGTCATTTGTATCAAATTTCAGTAACTCCAGCACTGTGACAGGAAATTAATTAGAGATGCTTAAATAAGGTGCTATTAGACTGTAATAGGACCTTATTGTATGAATTTTGCTGAGTTATTGGTCATTAATTTATTGCAGCCAGCTGAAGAATTGGAGCATAGCCAGAATTGCAGTAGCTGTGAACTCCTGAAAAAGGAAAACAAAAGAATCCGCAGTTGCTGGCAAACATCAAAACAGAAACTAAGTGCTGTTAGAGAAGAATTACGTGCACTTAGAAGTGTAACAGGTGAGCAGTCTAATCACTATTATGTAATATAGATATTAAAATAAATTTATTTTATTATCTATGGTAATATAATATACTTGTGTGTAATAAAATATATTTCCTTTTTCCCTGCTAATTGAAAAGACCCACCTTCATGATACAACTGGATGTATGTGATTCTAATCCAGGCATATGTATTTGAATAAATTCATGTAGGCATGTTAAATTTAAAATTTTTCCATATGTTAGCTCGATCATGAATAGGAATTTAGGCTGTGTCAGCATGTGTGTCATACATCAATTGCAAATGGATGACAGTTGTATTGTGTCTTAAAATGTTAAATGTTACTGCAGAAATTCAAGCAAGTCTGAAGTGTTGGATTTAAATAAAGTATTTCGATAAATTTACAACAGGTGAAAGCAGCCATGCCCAAGTACTTGATGATGATGTTGAAAGTGACAATGAGGAATGTAGTGTGTCTGGGGATGGAGCAGAGGAACCTTCAGATGAAGTATCTGATGATGTAGAAATAGAAACAGAGACAGAGACAACAGATACAGATACTGATGAAGATATAAATGTGCCTCCACAAAGGTATATAGACAAAAGTTAAAAAATTATTTTAGTATGCAGGGTTTAAAATGTTTGTAAATTATTACATGTCCAAGGTGATGGCTGTGTATTGTTATCACCAATGTTTTGAAAAGTCTTATCATGATCATAACCTTTCGGTGTGTTTTTTAAAAAGTGAAGTTGAGACTAATAATATGGCTGACAATTTGACATTTACTTTCTGTTGTTTTTAGTAACTCTGTGTAGTAGCAATGTATGGTGTATAATGCCCAAAATTTGCAGCAAAATACATGCCAAATAGTTGTTTACTTATTGTATTTCAGGATTCCTGCAAAGGAGTACAACCTTAGAACAGAGCCAAAGTTTATTGTGTTTTTCACACAGTTGTTGACTCTCTTTCAATTCTGCCGTGAATGCAAATGTGAGAACACACTGGTTGAAGTAAATGCACATGGAACAATGGCTGAGGTTACTACAATATGTGTCAACCCTGGATGTGGAAAAAGAACAACATGGTTTAGTCAACCTAATTTTCCTGGAACAAAAATTGCAGCTGGTAACTTGTTGCTTAGTTTTGGAATTCTTGTCGTCGGTACATCAGCAACTAAAGTTTTCCGAGTGCTTCAGCACATGGGAATGACATGCGTTTCACTAACAACTTTCTTCAAATATCAACGAGTGAGTGTTATTTTGTTATTTTGGTTTGATGTCTCACTGAGATATGGTTTATGAAACATTAGATGCCAGTTATATGAATGAATACTGTAGTAATCACATGTTTGAAGTTATGAAAACAGTGTTAATAACCACAACTGAGTGTATTATTTGTAGATGCAAAGGGTTATTTATATTGTTACCTGCAAATATGAATATATGAATGTTTTTTGTTTATAGGAAAAATTGTTCCCATCAATTTATTTGCACTGGAAAAGGTACCAAGCTGGATTAGTTGAGAAATTGAAAAAACATGGGGAATTGGTGATTGCTGGGGATGGGCGACATGACAGTATGGGTCACAGTGCCAAGTACTGTGCCTATACCGTATTTTGTTGCACCATTCCATTCATAATTGATTTTGTCTTAGTACAGGTACAGTAATGTGTTTTATCAACATTTTCCAGTTGATGTAGCAACCATGCTAATGGCAACACATATCTTTATTTCACTAGAGAAATGAAGTTGGCAGCAGCCCAGCTATGGAATATGCTGGTTTTTGCAGAAGTATGGAGTATCTGCTTGGTTTGGGTTTGGTGATTCAGACATTTGTTTCTGACAGGCATTCCACCATTGCAAAACATATGAGGGAAAAGTTGTCAAACATCACTCATTACTTTGATATTTGGCATCTCAAGAAAAGTAGGTTAAAATAGTCATCAACTCTGACCGTATAAGTTATACTGCAGTATATTGAGGATAATCTCCAATAGTTGAGGGTAGTCTCCAACATTCCTAATTATGCCAATATAAATGCAAAATTATTTTTAAAATGGGGAATTCTTTTTATTCATTTTTCCTGTAGAAGTTACTAAGGTGCTAACAAAAGTTGCAAAAGTGAGTGGATGCGAAGCAATAAGCGAGTGGATAAAACCTTGCACAAACCACCTGTACTGGAGTGCAAAAACAACACATGATGGAAATGGTGATGTTATTTGGGCAAAATTCTCATCATTTTTAAGTCATGTGGTCAACAAACATGAGAATCTGGACAATCCAGTGTTCAACAAATGTGGCCATAAAGATATCATTCAGCCACGCAAGTGGTTAGACAAAGGTACTGCAATGGAGAAACTAGAAATTACAATTAATGTCAGTAAATTTGTTAGTAAATTGGATAAGAATTAATGTTAGTAAACTGTGCACATATTCTGATATTCTGTAACACCTTGTGGTACAATCTCTGACAATCAAAGTAATATACTATTTGGATAATAATAGTTGTCATTTTTTGCAGATTCCATTGCATATGAGAAAATGTGCTCAACCCTCTCAAATAAAAGATTAAAAAAAGGAATAATGAAAGCTTCCCCTATTGAACAAACTAGCTGCCTAGAGGGATTTCATTCTGTATTGAATCAATTTTCCCCCAAGATGATTGGTTACTCTTACAGGGGAATGTTTTGCAGGTATGTCTTGACAGATACAGATGATGAACCTCCCCCAGGGTTAGGGTTGACAGAATGTGTTGTTCTATTTTTAGACATGTGATTGCAGTTATTCATTTCAACAAAAATCTTTCCCGGGAAAAAAGAACAAAGAATGGCATTGAGCAATATAGTGTGATTTACCCAAAATTCATGAATGGAGAAGCAGTTGTCAGAAAAGTTTCTGTGAAGCAAAACTTTGGTAAGTTTAATTTACTTTTTAATAATTCCCTTCTCTCCTCCCCCCCCCACCAATCTGAATCCAACTACAGTCACTGAGTATGGATAACTGATTTATAATTTAACAATTGATAATAGATTATGTAGATGATATGTATGAAACCATGCTAGAGGCAATTGGAACAGAAGAACTGAAGGATGCAATTGATGAATTGATTGAGAAAACACCACCTCCCATGAATACAATGCTCAACAAACAACCACGAGAAGAGGCGATTGAAAAGAGAAAGAAAAGGGATAAAATGCAGCTTGTGGATATTCCACCAACAAACCCAGGTGTGTGAAACAGCCCATACAAAGCAGGGTACCTATGTACACTGTATGAAATGTACACTGTATGAAATACTTATATGCAAAACCAGTAATGCAATAATGGTTAATGTTGACAAATCTAAATATTTTATTATTATTTTAGTTCCTACCACTGCAACTGGCAAAAGTGCACCTTCAAAGGCAAGAAATTTCCCAAAGTGCAATCAGCCAATGAAAGGCCATAAGAATGTGTTAAATTGCCCACGAAACAAAAAAGATTAACAGACAATGGGCCATTTTTGCAATATTCCACAAATCCACAAAAATATCTATGTAGCTAGAGAATGTTGCAATTCATTATGTACATATTGGTAGAGTCCTGGGGCCGGTTGTTTGAAAGGCGTTTAGCTTATTAAACGGTGGATAAGTTCAAAATGGAAAACAAAATTATCGATTTAATGAACAACCAAGCTGAAATATTTTGATGTAGAAAGTACAAATTAAACGCATCAGATGCAAGTTCAGTCATTCACAAGATCCATGAGAGTATTTTTAAACTTTGGCTTATCCACCGTTTAAGCTAAACGCCTTTCGAACAACCGGCCCCTGGCTGTGTATTTTCTATATTATTAAAAGTATATATGTTTATTGACTTTCATCATCTGTTTCCAATTGGTCATAACCAGTAAATGAATCTTCCTGGGGTTTGTGTGTTGAGCGGATTATGTTATATGCACAAGATGGCAATGGGATCCTTCTGTCTTTTAACCAACCATGCACCATGCGAGTAAACTGCCTGTATGCAACAACTCGAAGGAAGCTAAATAGCAAATATATAATGTATTATATTTTATGATGATGATTTAATATTATATGAAATATGTTAGACCTATGACCAGAACCATATGCTTGTATTTATAATAAACATATACTGTAGTGCATAAAACCCTTGTTATTTACAAAGCTATATAATGTTATTTATAAAGAAAAGTATGTGATTTTACCTTTCCTTTGAACCACTTTGGCCATAACGATGACCATCACGGGTTTTATAGTTACCAGCAGCAAGCTCCAATGACCATCTGTTCAGGCAACTTGCTTGAAAACCGGGATGTTCTATGACGCATCGTAGTGGCTCCGTTTGCTTCGAAAATTCGGCAAGGAACTGCACACAATTTTCAAATTCTTTGCAACAATAGCATTCCTTTGCGTTTTGTGCAAGTTCAATGCTGCAATTGCCACAACTACACCAAAAAACCGCAAAACAAAAAATGATATCTACTGTCAAACACGTGCTCTACTATAAAACAATATTTCCAATCCGTGGTCAAATAGAAAGCGAAAAATTACCATGATGTTATGGGTTTAGTTCCATTCCAACGAAGTTGTAACTCCCTCATTCGCTCATTGTCTTCTTCTTGTCTTTGATTGTATTCTGCTAGCCAAACTTCGTCGGCAATTGGTTCGTCAAAGTAAGCCTCCATGTCTGAATTATCATCATCCGAGTTACCACCAATTTCGCGATCGACTTCAGACTCGCTTTCGAGCAGTTCGTGCTCTATCTCGTATGGCATGCTTGCAGAAGGATTGCTATGCACACTCGAAAATGAATTTGAGCTTGACATTACAGTATTTCCTTGAATAAATAGCCGTTTTTTTACCTTGTCTACTCGAATGGCAATATAATTTCTATAGTATTTTAATACAACACGTTCCTAGGATCCAGCCCCCTGGCGTGCGCTACTTTTTTTCACAATTTGCATGTTTAAGCGCTTGTATCTCTGAAATTAAGAATCTAAGCAAAAAACTAATGTAGAACTTAATAACTAATTTTTTATGCTCTATCAGAATCACCAAAAACCCATTTTGGGTTTATACGCACTTTAAGTATACCGTCTTCTTTACCAAATAATGAACTGCTCATCTTAAATGAAATGCAAGATAACGAATATCGAGCTTTAGTTCAGATGCTGAATAAGAAACAAAGAGAGTTTTTCTATCATGCTCTGCATTTGATAAAAACATCAGATAAACCATTTTACTCATTCCTCAGTGGAAGTGGAGGTGTTGGAAAGTCTCACCTTATTAAATCGATATACCAGGCAGCATTGAAGTATTACAATACACGAGTGGGAGAAGATTTTCATTGTGTTCATATGTTATTGCTTGCTCTGACAGGAAAAGCTGCATATCTTATAAAAGGAAACACGATTCACAGTGCCTTGTGCATTCCAGCTAGTCAGTCCCTGAAAAATTATAAACCATTGGATTCTGGCAAATTAAACACGATGAGACTGGAACTGGGTTCATTAAAATTAATATTACTTGATGAAATATCAATGGTTGGCAACAGTATGTTCACCATTCAATTAAACAACCGTTTGAAAGATTTAAAAGGTAGCAAAGAAGATTTCGGCGGTGTCAGTATAATCACAATAGGTGACTTATTTCAACTGAAGCCTGTAATGGATAGTTATATATTCACGGATATTCAGTGCTTAAATTCTTACGATATTCTTGCCCCAAATTTATGGAGGAAATATTTTAAAATGTTTGAGCTCAATGAAATCATGAGACAGAGAGAAAGCAAGATTTTTGCAGAGATTCTCAATCGACTTTGTGAAGGTAATCATACTCCTAGTGATCTTAAAAAACTGAAAGAGAGATGCGTTGAAGAGAATATGTGTCCCAGAGACGCACCACGTTTATTCATTCAAAATGCTTTAGTTGATGAATATAATCATAAAGTTTATCAATCATTCAATTATGGTGATAAATACATAATCAAGGCACAAGATAGCGTCATTGAAGCCTGTTCAACTGAACTCAAGGAAAAAAGAATCAGACAAATACCACATGTTCCTTTGAAAATTCAAAACAGTTGGCTTATAAGCTACATATTGCAGTCGGACAACGAACAGAACTCGCAATCAATATACGCACTGATGATGGACTAACAAACGGCGCAAGTAATGTCATTAAACATATTCAGTTGACCAACGATACCAAACCCTCTGGCCTCGTCTGGGTTCAGTTTGACTGTGAAGATGTTGGGGAAAAAAACCCGACAAGAAAATAGAATCTTATATGCGGGAGGTACATGCATACTAAGTAGTTGGACACCTATTAAACCGGTTACAACGCAATTTGCTGTAGGTGAAACAAAGTCTGCTCAAGTGGTAAGAAAGCAATTTCCCTTAAGACCAGCGTCGGCTAAAACTGTTCATAGATCACAAGGTGATACTTAATCACAAATCGTCGTTAATTTTAATACGAGAAGAGCAATTCCTCATATTCATTACGTCGCTCTAAGCCGAGTAACAACAATTGAAGGACTATATATAACTAATCTGTGCAAGAGTAAGATTTCTGTTGATCCTAAAGTCGTACAAGAAATGCAATCGCTGAGAAATGAGTATAAATTAGATCTTTGTTTTACTCCTTTGTACATGCTGAATCACACTAATATCAAAATTTGTCATCTCAATGCAAGATCTTTGCACATGGACATAGAAGATGTACGAAAAGATATTAATTATTCCTCAGCCGACATCCTAATTTTTACTGAAACAAGATTTAGTTCACAAGATCCTGATGAAATGTACGCAATTGAAGGTTATGAGTTATTTAGAAATGACGAGATTTCAAATATTGACCATCCATATCACGGAACAGCTGTTTATTCCAGAATTCCCATGATGATTGGATACCCTTGTGCGAAAAACTGTCATGGGATCGAGTTAACGATAATGAAGACAGTCCAACGCCCAGACTTAATTGTAATTGGAATATACAAATCTCCAAGACTTGTATTATCATCTCTTTTGGCTGCCATTCGTGTCACTTTGGAGGAAAATCCTTCTACACAAGTTATAATCATTGGAGACTTGATGAGGTAGAACAATAATTGGCTTGATGAGGTAGAACAAAGGTTATTGTACAACCTTATGATCAATGAAAATGGCCTTGACCAACTTATATCTAGCTGTATAACAGATAATAGGACATTAATTGATCATGTGTATACGAATTTGATTGAAGAAGATGTCCAAGCAGGTAATCTTGAAACTTACTGTAGTAAAAAATCAGGGCTTCCGTTAAGGTAAAGAAAGTAATGACACGCAAACATCACATGTTACAAAGAACTACAACAATAAGTTGTTGAAAAGTAAAGAAATACCATAGTATAACATGGTTAGATCAAACCAGGCCAATATTTATTGGCCTGCCTCCAATTTACAAAGAGGTAAGCATTTTTTGGTTATTTTGTTCTATTTGTTTCATTTTCACTTACTTATTTTTTCTTTTAGGTTCCGGCCGCACATCCTCAAATTAATCACATGACTTCAAAGCTAACTTGAATCATCAATAATTTAAAGGTAAATAATGCCAGTTTTAATATTAGTATTGAATCCGCCGTATGTAATGAATCCCAAATGTGCCTTCGTTTTTCTACATTAATGTGTATCTTTTTTTACAGTTCAGCTACGCTCACTATCTACAATTAAGTCAGCGATGCTCTTTGTTTTAAAACACGTTGGTCAAATGAACTTGATGAAAAGGCCAAGCACAACAAAGAAAATATCGATATCCTCGTTCCTCTGCTGTTACCTGGTATCGACATCCAAAATACTGTGAACTGTCACTGGAACGTGTATACCAAACAAGAACAGTTCTCTTTTCTTAAGCACAGAATCACTGAACTTTTTGACACATTCATGCAAGACAAAGGCAACAAAATTATGCATTTCTGGTAACTGTTATTTGTTAGTACGCGTTTACATCAGTGCTGAATAATGGGATTCATTTTTAACTGATTGTCAGACTGATAATATGATCAATGAACAATGTAAACAAGCTAAAGAATTCTCATTGGATCAATACGCTCGGGCAACTTCCGACTAATTAATGGTGATAGAAACATTGTCTGCGATCCTAGTTTTGCCTTCGTATACTGGATTCATGGTATCGTTAAAAAAGTAATTTCATGCAAAAGAAAAACTATGGCAAGAAATTTTGCATTGATGATTTA